GGTTAGGTGGTGCACACGCTGGGGTGGGAGGACACGTAACTGAAACACGTATGTGTGTGCGGGCGACCTGGGTTTTCATAGCCCTACTGTAATCCAGCGTTGTTTTTACTTGATGGTGTAGGTATAAATTCGCAAGTTCCTTTGCCATGGGGAATAAAAAAATAGGAATAGATTTTGCAGTTCTGGCCATTCTAGAATGCGTTACTATTGCGGGGGCATCTGGAACACGTAGTGTTTCCTTTTTACTTTCTGTGCCGTGGGAAGCTTAAGAACGTGCTCATTTTTGGCCTTACTATCTTATGTAACACGAACCCTGTAAATTCTTAACTGAAGGCCAAGCAAATTTAAATTGGGAACTAGGAGGAACAAGACGTGAATGGTTGAGGTTTCAAAGTGACTTGGATTAGCAAGCTGTGGTTCTTAGCATCTGCCAAGCTATCCTTTGAGGATCTGAGGAAAGCCGTAAACGTTAGGAAAGTGTGCCCCGTGCATGCGATTCTGCATATAAATTCAGGGAGTCGGTTCCAAGAGCACCCGCAGCTCTCCTCAGTCCCAGGTGAGTAAGTCGTCTGCCTGTCCAGAGTCACCTGGTAAGAAGAGGCAGTGCGGTACTTGTGAAACTACAGTTCCTGGGTCTTGACCCAAACCCACTAAATAGCAGCCCGGGGAAAGACCTGGTAATACTACTTTAACCCAGGGGTCCCCAACCTATGGTGAGCTGTATAATTATTTCATTATATATCACAATGGAATAATAAAGTGCACAATAAACGTAATGCCCTTGGATCATCCCGAAACCCTCCCCCTCCGCCACCCCACCCCCAGTCCGTGGAAATATTGTCTTCCATGAAACAGTCCCAGGTGCCAAAAACACTGGGGACCGCTGCTTTAAACAATCGCTCTAGAGCAGCACTGTCCACTAGTAAGATAATGAGCCACAAATGCAAGGCACATGTAATTTTAAATTTTCTAGTAGCCACATTAAGAAATGTGAAAAGAAACACATGAAATTAGCTTTAATAACATTTAACCAGATACATCCATAATATCTCAACATAGAATATTTTAAAAATTATTAATTAGATACTTTTGTGTTATGTCTTCAAATCCCAGTGTGCATTTTACACTTCAGCACATCTCCGTTCGGACCAGCCACGTTCAAGGGCTCGAATAGCCCCGGGTGGCAGTAGCTCCCCGCATTGAGCACGCAGGGCTGGAGGAGGTGTTACTTGGCGCCCAGAAGAGTGATGCTGAAGTCATCACTGTCTTGCTGGCATCTGCCTCGCTCAGATGCAACAGGTGAAGTAACCCAAATTAAAATTTGGGTTTGAGGTGTGGCCTTTGTATCTTTAAATAAATGAGCTGATGCTACGATTAGCTCTTTAATCCTAGAGTTTCTACCGGCAGTTCACTCCCCTCTCCCTTCCTGATGCCAGGGCAGTTCCTGGGGGCAACTCTGAGCTCCCAGCAATGGCTACTCCCCTCCCCATGCCCTACCGAGGCCGGGCAGGGTCTGTGAGAGCCCCGCCTGCCCCCCTGGGCTTCTCCTCCTCTGGGTCTTGCCAGGTTCTCAAAGTCCCCTAAAGGCCTAGGTGCTGGGGAAAGAAGCCCTTTGTTTTGTGGTAGGACTGAGATTTCCATGCCCCCGCCAGGGGTGGACATGCCGGGGGAGGCAGGGATGGTGTTACTCTGAGTGAAGTTTCTTGTGAATTTCTTGCTGAGTTCATGGCTAACATTTTTAATTCTCTTCACAGTTTTCTGCGTTCCTTTTGCTCTGTTAACATTAGAATGAAAGATAAAGGAATCTAAACAGTAACAGAATGTAGGACAAGTTAGCCAGAGGGAAGGGGGGAATCCCTGGAGCTCTCCCAGCCTCCCTGCTGGAGGCCGAGGAAGGGAGCCGCCCTCCCGCCTCACCGTTCTCACTTCTGGTAGGAAATGCTGCCACTCTCAGACGCCAGTCAGAAATGCAGCCAGATCTGAAATTTCTGGGTGGCTGCTAGAGCCCAGGAGAAACACATTCCTCGCAGGGGCGAGCTGCTGGAAGGCTCCCCACGGGCCCTGGGGGCTGCCAGTCCTGGGGCTGCGAGCTGGTCGTCAGGCTTCCCTTAGAGATCGGTCCCCGGCCCAGCGCATGCTCCGCAGCACGAAGGGTCCACGGATGAGGGGATCGAGTCTCCTGCGCCCCGGCAGCCCCGGCCAGCACAGCTCCTGCTGAGCCGCTTCATCTGAGCCCTGGTTCCCAATAAGGTTCATTTAAAAGTCATTAAAAAAAAACTCGGTCCCCTTCCATACTCTCTCACAAAAGCAGGCCTGGATTTTTGTGTCATAGCTCCCTTCCTCATTAATCGGTTTGGAGAGCTTGACTTGTCCTCACAGTAGCTAGAGGCAGAAATTATATTAGATATTTGAAAAGTCAGGAAGGAAGAACCAGGGTCCAAACCATCTGGGCGCCTGAACGTTGTCTTCCACCCTGAGGTCACCCTCCCATCCCCTCCTAGAGGACTCCAACTCACATACTTTGCAAAAAGCATACAAAGTTGTAAAAAGGTCAAGCAGTGCAGAAGTGAGTTAAGTAGAAAATGAAAGCCTTCTGTCATCATCTTCACACGAGTTAACTGTTGCTGAGTTTGTTTAGCCTTCTAGTCTATTATAGCAGATATTTACATTCTGATTTTGTTATTTTTGACAAAAATTATATCCTATAGAACTCACCCTTTTCACTTAATGTATCAGAACCCTTCCATGCCAGTGCATCTCGATCTGCATTTTTTAAAAGTTTAAGTAGAGCATTTCGGTAGCATGGATACGTTGCCACGCAACCGGGTTGTGTTGCTGGCTGCGCAGAGAGGAGCCACTACTGAGGCAGTCAGGGTTGCGGTGGAGAAAGGGTTTAATTCCACACAGCAATAATCAGAGAGCCAGAAGAATTTCTCAAATCTGCCTCCCTGAGAATTTGGGAGACGGGGTTTTTAAAGACAGTTTGGCGGGCAAAGGATTAGGCAATTGAGTTTGCTAAGTGATTAAGTTTGGGGCCAAATTATAGGGATGTAGAAATCATCATCGTATGTTGAGTCAGTTCCTGGGTTGGGGTCACAAGTCCAATTGAGTCAGTTTCTCAGTATGGGCCGCGGTCTGGGTGGGTCAGCCAGTCCACTGCAACACGGGGGCTGGAAGACATCTTAGAAGCTACCTTTAGATTTTGAAAAGGTGATGTTATCTGCAGAGAAAGTTAAGAATCTTTATGACCACCAGCTGTGACTCGAGAATAGCAATTATAGAGAAGCAAATTAGGGGATGGTGGCTGATTATCATCATTATTTTTAGCTAGGCCCGAACCTTCACTGTTTCTAGGCCCTTACCACGGTTCTCGCCTTGCACCCCTTTGTTGATCTGTAAAGGGTGGTTTCAGGTATACCTAGTCCCCTGGTTGTTTCCGATTCTTGATTATTGTGACCAGTCCTGAAGTGAATCCAGCTGTAACTGATGTACCTTTAGGAACCTGTGCTCATGCTGTCTCTGTAAGATAAATTCCTAGAAGTCAAGTTGCTTAATCAAGGGATGTGTTCATTTCTTATTTTGCTACATACTACCGAATCGCCTTATAAACCAATCATGTTAATTTACATCCTCACACTCACACTGAGTCCTTTTTTTTTTTTTTTTTTTTTGAGACAGAGTCTCACTCTGTTGCCCGGGCTAGAGTGAGTGCCGTAGCGTCAGCCTAGCTCACAGCAACCTCAAACTCCTGGGCTCAAGTGATCCTTCTGCCTCAGCCTCCTGAGTAGCTGGGACTACAGGCATGCGCCACCATGCCCGGCTAACTTTTTCTATATATTTTTATTTCTTTCTATTTTTAGTAGAGACAGGGTCTCGCTCTTGCTCAGGCTGGTCTCGAACTCCTGAGCTCAAACAATCCGCCCCCCTCGGCCTCCCAGAGAGCTAGGATTACAGGCGTGAGCCACCGCGCCCGGCCTACACTGAGTCCTTTTTAGAGGAATTCCTTCCCTAAATCCTAGTTTCCCAATATTTCCCAGGGAATCAAACACAGTACCTTCAGTGAGTTGTTCTGGAGCTGTTCTAACAATCACTAGAAGCTATCACCCAGGCACGGGCGAGGTGCCCCCGTGCTGGGGATACATTAGGAACCAAGCCAAGTAAGGTCCTTGACACTCTAGAAGTTGATAGCTACAGTGCAGACAGCGACGGCCTGTGCCGAGTGCGGAGCGCAGTGACAGAGGGAGGCGGTGTCAGGGAAGGCACTGATGATGCTTCCCTGCCTGGGTCCTGTGCTCTTGCGGGAATTAGAGGAAGGCAAGAAGCTGAGTGGACGCCGGAAACCTCCCTTAACTGACTCCTCCGAGTCAATTATTAATAGCTTGGAGTACTAAAGAGCCCCTGGAACTTGAAGCTGCTTCAGCTGTGGAGTAGGGGTTGTCAAAAGTACAACTCAAGTACTTTAATGGGAAACAAGGACCTTTAAAAAAGAAGAGTATCACTTCTACTCCCTCTACCACGACCACGTTTATTTGGTTCAGCGAGTAGGGATTTGCCCAAGGCAGGCAGCCTAGGCCGGACAGGTTTGTGTCGCCGAATCCCTGGTGGTTCTGGAGATGCTCAGAACACTTGGGGAAGGGTATGGAGACCGAGACAGGTTTGCAGTCAGGCCGCACTCATCGCCGAGGATGCCAACAGCAGAAAGGAACTTCTAGAAATAGATCAGCTGAGTTTCCCTATCTGGAAGACCAGAGACAGAAATCCCTATCTTGCTCCTTTGTGACGCATGCTTAAGATCTTTGAAGGGCCTCAAACAAGGCTTTGAGAACGCAGTGGTGAGGAGGTATCTACCCATTCAGGGACAGCAGTGCTGTTAGAATCCTTTTCTCACGTTTTGACTTTTCGCGCTAACCTTTCCCCCTCCTTTCTGCCACCACTTCCAGGGTAGTAGCCACCTCCATCATCATCTCAAGCTATGACATGTCTTGTTTCTCTTGATACAGAGAAAAGAAGTTGAAGGCTAGAGTTCAGGAGCTGGTGAGCGCCTTGGAAAGACTCACTAAGAGCAGTGAAATCCGACATCAGCAGTCAGCGGAATTTGTTAATGACCTAAAGCGAGCCAACAGGTAAAAATCTCCCCGTACATCTCCCACAGTACTTAGACTGATGCCTGCACGAAGGCCCAGCACCAGGGAATACATTTCCGTAACTCCTGGCTCCGTAACTCCTGGGAGCCAACTCCGGAGAGTGGGAAGTCCTCACCTGCCCCAGGTGTCCCACAGAAACCTAAGAAATGCTCAGTAAAGATGGGTCCTTTGGCCAAATGCGGCATATGTGGTCTCTTGATGTTTCATACAGTGAGCGTTCTGAGAATCCATACGATAAAAAGTGTGTGTTTAAGCCAATGTTTTCAAACAAAATTGGCTACAGAATCTTTTATTTGGGCAATACATAATATTCAGTGGAACGCTTTATTTATTTTTAAGAGAGTATTGTTCTGTTGCCTGGGCTAGAGTGCAGTGGCATCATCATAGCTCACTGCAACCTTGAACTCCTGGGCTTCAAGCATTCCTCCTGCCTCAGCGTCCTGAGTAGCTGGGACTACAGGCACATGCCACCACACTTGGCTGATTTTTCTATTTTTTATAGAGACAAGTTTTGCTTTGTTGCTCAGGCTGATCTTGAATTCCTGGCCTCAAGCAATCCTCCTGTCTTGTTCTCCCACTGCACACGGCCTAGTGGAACACTTTAGGAAACACTACTCTAAGACAGTGTCAGAACTTTAGGGTTCAGAGTTCCTTTATATTTTTAAAAAATTGAGGACCTCAAAGAGCTTTTGTTCCTGTAAATTATATCAATACTTACCATAATTAGAAACTAAAATCAAGACAAACTTTTCAAAGTTTTTATTAATTCATTTACAAAAACTCAGTAGACATAACACAAATGGCATTTTAATGCAAAATAGCTTTCTAAAAAATAATTGGAAGAGTAGCACTGTTTTAACAATTTTGTAAATCTTTAACGTGTGGCTTAATAGAAGACAGCTGGGTTCTCACATCTGCTTCTGCAATCAACATTATTTGGAAGTGTATCCAGAATACCTGGCTTCATGCAGAGCTGTACTTGGTAATAAAAGACCAAGACCTCACATATCCCTTGAACAGATTTTAGGCGTCAGATCCTCAGACCACTTGGAGAACAGCTACAGGGGTAGTGGCTATACATGGAAGGGATCTGGGGTGCCATTTTCAAGGGACAGGGTCATCTGGACTTACTTACCTGGCCTCATTCCCTGCTCTCACTCCCGGCCTATAGTGGGGACAGTTCAGAGGCCTGTGTTGATTGGTTTGGCAGCAGTAGCTTAAGGCCTAATTGAGTGCTCTGAGTCCCGCCAGCCAAAGCATAAAGGGAATTCTGAGCACAATGAGCCTCTCTGCCCTCATCCTAGGTGAGGAAGGTTAGACTGTAGTGTGTCAGCAACACGCTTCTGTAACTTACACTTGACCATCTGTTGTTAAGTAGCCATGGAGTAACAAACAGACCTATCTATATTTAAATACCAGATTTCTGGAATTCACCTACTTTCTTCTGTATTTTGGACTTGGCCAATTTGGATAGTTGATTTGAGTCTTAGAACTACTTCTGAGAGTGACAGCCTCCAGCAGTCACGCTGGATTCGTCGTGGTTAAGGTAACAGATGAGCAGCCATTGAGTGTTGAAATCCTGGTGCTGTGCCTCCTCTTACCACTTGATTTGAAATTCTTACCGAAGAGGCTGAACCCAGTGGACAGGACAGTTGTGTAATACTGTGTAATACTACTGAGGATGAATCTTCATTCTCATTTCCCTGCTCCCCCACATAGCAACCTGGTAGCTGCCTACGAGAAAGCAAAGAAGAAGCATCAAAACAAACTGAAGAAGTTGGAGTCGCAGATGATGGCCATGGTGGAGAGACATGAGACCCAAGTGAGGATGCTCAAGCAAAGAATAGCTCTGCTGGAGGAGGAGAACTCCAGGCCTCACACCAATGAGACTTCACTTTAATCGGCACTCGGGCACCAAAGTTCTGCCCACGGGAGCTAAACTATAGCAGGCCCCAAAGGAGAGAAGGGCCCCAGGGGACAGAGTACCTGTTGGGAGAATGAGGAAAGGGAAGGTTGGCAGGTAGGTCAGCACTTGGACAATGGAGTGCCCCAGACTCAGCTCTTGGGGGTAAGTGGCCCTGGTGACACCATGTGGACTGTACCCAGAAGTTCCTGCTCCTCCCCTATCCCGGACCCACAATGGCATGTAAACGTGCCGTGTGCCTGCTCAGCAGAACCCTGCTCCTGCTCTCCCCACTTGATTTCTCACTCTCCCTCCTTTTCTGGGTTAGAGGCTGCGCTTCTGTGGGATCCCAGGCATTTGTTTTTATAAGATTTTCCATTCTATTCCCTTGTTAGCAGAGTGGGCTTATCTTCTGGCGTCCACAATTTCTCCTCTTTCCTCCTCCTCCAGGGGAAAACTGACACACACTCAAGGGTCTGTGTGTGCCTCCAGCAACTAGAAGGACTGCCGATTTGCTTAACGCAACAAGGCTTTGGTTTTCAAGACACGTGTATCAACTCTTAAGATACAGGCTGCCACACACAGGTGCTCTCTGGGAGTCACAGATCATGGGCAGATGGTACAGAGGTGTTACTTACAGTTCCAGATACGCTGGAGTTATAAGCAGAGCAACACCAGGGTGCTGGAATAATTCTGTACCCGGAGATTAAAAACTTCCTTCAACTTCCATTTTGGAGGCAGGGCTGAGAAGGGAGCTCTCTTTTGATTCCGGGATTTTTCCCTCCCAGTAGAGCTTTATTAATAGCCAAGACGTAGAGCTGAGAATCCTTCTAATATGTGCAGTGGAAATAAAATTTTAAGGGTTTCTTCAAGAGCAGAGAAGCATTATTATCACTTGCCGCCCCAGGGCACTACATAATTGCTGTTCTGCTGAATCAAAACTCATCCACATGAGTATCTTTGTATTGCTGGACCTGTCTCTATATACAGGTGAGAGGCTGTGTACTGTCAGACATGGAGGAGATAATGAATGTTTTGCAAAACTGATCCACCTACTTAAGAGTGCTACTGACCGCACCAAGTTCAAGACTTAACTCCTGCTGTCATGAAGGGGACAGGGTGAGGGAATAGGTTGGTAAGGTCGTCTTTCTTTCCCCAGATGGTGATGGTTAGTTAGCAGATGGTGCTTACAAGGTTAAATTTCAAGCAAAATGCTAACAGGGCCAGGCAGGACCAACGTACCTAAATTCTTTCAGGATAGTCTTTTATCTGAACATAAATCCATTATTCCTTTTCTACAGCAACCTTCACTGTTTTACCCCTTCTTTGTCTTTCAGTCCAACACTGATACATTTGAAGGACCACTTTGTGGTTTTTCAGTAGCACTAGAGAGAGAATCCACCCAAGCTTCCCTATGAGAAATGTATTCCAATGCCATGGTTAACTACAAATTAAAGTTTCTGCTTTTGACCAGGTCACTGTAGTAGAGTCATCAGGTCCATAAGCTTTGGATGGGTCTCTTCAGAGAGCATGATGCAAATTCCTCGGCCTTCTGTACAATGGGGAAGGATACTCCAGCCACCACCTAGGAGGGCAGACAGTTTTATCCTAAAAGCAATCACCATTCTTTCTCAGTGAGGCAGCCCATCTCCACCCTGACACCAAATCAAGTGGTATTAGTCTGGAAGGACCAACTTTTGGGTGCTTTGATCACTGTGAAAAAGCCCACTGGCTTCTGTTTCTATCTTTTGGTCAAAGTTAATTCCTGTGATTTTTTTTAAAAATTAATTTTCACTCTTTGGATGAAGTTGCATTTTGTCATGAGGAAAATGTTTTGGCTGAAAAGTATATGCAGAAAAAAATGTGTAACAGATGAAATCAGTTTTCACCATTTTTCCAGCTTGCCTAGGGAACAGTCTCCCCTGAACAAACTGGGACGTGCATGGCTTTCTCTTTTGCCATTGAACAGGTATCAAAATGGACAGTTTTCATTTGCACCACGCCCTGTGGCTGAAGCAGGAATAAACTCCTGCCTGCTGACTTCTGCCTCCATTCTTGCTCCAGGTGAAATCAGAGACCCCGCCCCTTAGGCCCTGTAATGCCTCCAGACAGGAGAGGCCTCAGCTCCTGTTACGGCCCCTGGTATCACTCAGCCTACCTGGCCTTACTGAGTTTCTATGTCAATATAATATTTTCAAATATGTGGTGATCTGGGTGAAAACTGTTTCCAAAGCAAAAGTGTTACTTCTATAAAATATGTAAAATAAAAAAGCTATAAATAGTTGATTTCCTTTCCTTGTATTTTTCAAGTACTCCCCAAGACATGATCCTTGTTGAAAGTGAACTAGCAGGCACTTGGTTATGCTAATTGTGGGAACTACTGAACTGTGCAGATTAAATAAATGACTGCAGGGGGGTAATTTTCCTTTTCTGTATAACCTGGCTCTACTGTATTTCTCTCTAAACAGGAGATGGTTTACATCAACATCTCCATCGGGGGTAAACAACGATCTTGATTTTAACTTGTATTAAGTTTTTAAAACCTTCAGAATTTCATATTTTTCTTTTCACCAGTTTCCTAAGTGGTTGCCCCTTTTAGACAATCACCTCCCCTGTTCAGAGTTCAGTCTTTGGCTCTTGGAGAAATGGGCATGGAGCAAAAGAACCCATTTCCCAGTTCCCTTGAAATATATTTTTCTCATTGCTGAATTGAGGCAAATAAAACGAACTAGGCAAGGAGCCTGCTGTCCACAGCTGCAGTGCCATGAGCCTACCAGCTGGATCTGATGTTCTGCCAAACCCCAGGGGCACCAGCTACCAAAACTGCCATGGAATTGTAGGCAGTAAGATTCCTTAAAGTTACTTAGGATTAAATATACTGTGATCAGATAGTTGAGACTTATCACACCATCCCTCTCATGCTTTAGCCCCAGATGTACATTAGATATTTTATCATTGCCAGTGGAGATAATTACCTGTTTCATAGTCACTCTCATCTGCTGGCATGTCAGGTTTCTGAAGTTAATGTCCATGCTGCCTGAAACTGGAATGTTAGGTTAATAAAAGAAATTAAGTGCCAGTTAAACATAATTGCTTAATTCTCCTTTTAGATGCATGTACTTCTTACTAAGTCTTCCTCTGAGCCCACAGCAATATTTTACAGAAACCTCAGAGAACTCTAAATCAGAACCTTGACATTCTACTGCAGAAAGGCAGTCCAAACTAGAGCCTATCAGCTTTTCCTTAAAAAGTGTTTGTTAGGATGAGGACATAGTAAGGGTTTTATCCCTCCAAGGAAAACCTGAAACTATTTGAAAGTCTTCTAGTTCCTAGCTGGATCCAGATTAGATTTTAAGTTAGAAAAAAAAAAAAAAGCCTCATAGTTACCTGAGCAAGACTGGACTCTAGCCTGTGTCACTGGCATGAATTAATTTACATAGTTGCCTGTTCCCTTCTAAAGGTGCTTCCTATGGCCCACGAAAATTATCCTGCAATTATTTTTTAATTCTACCATCTCATGCTTATGTTTTAAATGTGGTATCAACACTATAGAAAAACACTCAAACTTATATTAATGATTTAAGTGTCCTTTCCTCCATAAAGCTTTAAACCATTTGCAAACACATAAATAGGAGATATCCCACTCGTTCTATGAACTATTTATAGCTTCACCTACTTCTGGATGCAGGAAACAGAACTATAGTTTAGTTAGGAAGTTTTTAGAGCCCAAAAAGAATTCTCTAATGGGTGAAATTTCTGCACTGAACTTAATTAGGGTGCAGCCATACAGTCGCCAAGGTTTTTGCAGGGCAGGGGAAGCTTAAGTCACGTTATGTTTTTTCTGCAGAGAGTGACAGCTTTCTAGAACACTACAACATTTTCAGGAGAAAAAAAAATCATATAGCAACAATTTTCTGTTTATCCAATGGAACAGCCTCTTTGATAAGGAATAATAAAACATCTGACTCACCTTTGAGGCTTACAAACTCTAAAGAGTTTCTAGAAGAGGCATAACTTGTTCCAAAACAAAAATTATGCCTTTGCTACACAAACAGTTCTTGAAGTTTATCTAAATCCTACTCTAATTAATTGAAACCTTGTGTTTATATACAGGTCAGGTTAAAAGCAAGCTCTGAACCCATGGCCTTCAGAAGTACCGTCCATTTCACACACTTGAAGTTACTCTCTAATACATTTGTATTCACTAAGACAGATATGCCTTTGGCTGCCAAGAACTAACGTTAGAATTGGAAACAGAATTATCAATTAATGTAATGGTGACTGCTGTCACCGCAGCATCACTGAACACTCCATGGGTGTTAAAATATCAACGAGTGGGAAAGAGTACAAAGCTGAATAGCAGCTGGTCATGTACTCTCATTTGGCTAATACCTGGGTAGAGAAAGACAGTTTCACATGCAACCATTACATTTTTGGTTAAGAATTATACTGGATAAATTCTCTATCACATTGCATCTGAGAGAGATTTTGCATGAGACCAAGAAAAAAAATTATTCAGTCTCAGAAACAGCAACTGCTGTTGGATAACCACATTCCTTCCCTAGTACTTGATCTTTCCATAGTTATTCACCTGCTATTCAATCTGAAATATCAGCTCAGCACCACAGCGTAAGTTAGATACAAAATTCCCCGACATTCACACTGATATCCTGGCTTAGTAGTTCTTCCTCTACCACTTTTGCACTTTTTGCAAATCAAATTCATGTGGAAAATGTTCTGTTTGTAGAACTTGTAGTATTCACTTATAGTGCTCATGTCAGGACTGCCAAGTGAGTAAAAGCCCGATAATATGCTTTTGTTTGAACCTAATGCAAAGAAAATGAAAATGCTCACTTCTTTTCTATTTCTAATCAGTTTTTAGACACCTTGTCAAGACTTATTTACTTTGCATGAGATTTAAGTTTTCTATTTGAAAATGTTCTACTTTTATACCACTTGACTAGAAAAACCTGCTTGAATGTATTGTCAGTTATTAAAGCACATGTGATTAAGTTTGCATTCATCAGTATTGTTCTATTGTTTGTATTGAAAGTCTCATTTTAAAGTTGCTACTTAACACTGTACTATACCTTGTAATTTTTTAGATTTTTCACTTGTATGCTTTAAATGTTTCCAGATGCCTTTAGTTTTAGCTGCTGTAAAATAGTTACTCTGTTATTTGATATAGAATTGTTTTTTAAAAACTCCATTTATTTATACAGAGACATTTATAATATTTTACAAACATTCCTATATTCTGAATAAATATTTCTAATTCCATGGTGTTCTTTAACTGTGTTAATTAAAGGATAAGGCTGTCCTTCTTTTAAACTATTCACTGGTCATACATGTAAATATCTAACCATGATGCTTACATTAAATCAAGAGCCCTAGTCAAAGCAGGGGAGCTAGAACTAAGATTATATTATTAGATCAACAGCCAAAGAAACCTCACTTATGGCCAATTTTCATTTGGCTACTTTTTCAAATTCAGCATAAATGGGAAGTTGTTATCTTCTGAAGGACCTTTTTTTCCTTTTAAAGATCACTGAAATAGGGAACATAAGAATTGGAAGTCTGAGGAAGTCAAACATGACTAAGAGGGCAAGAGGCTTTGCAACATGTCTGTAAGAGGAAGAATATTACAATGCTGTCAGGTTTTCAATATGGAAGCAAAGTATCTTCAACAGTAGGAGTATGAAACATCTTGGTCATTCTCCACTTTAAGATTGTAAATAAAAATTACTATTATATAGCTGAGGTATTAAACAGAGAAGAGCTATTTCTTTCTCTCCTGAGATCCAAGGTCAAGCATTCCTATTAGTAAACCTGATTTTAGTATAAATTTAAGAATTGCTGGATTTTATATATCCAATTCACATCTCAAGCCCTCCACTATAACCTTGCTTTAAAGCAACAACTACAACTTAAATGCTTGAAATAAAGAATACATACCAGTTCTTTATTTTCACTTTTGCAGAGACACTATACTTTTTTGTTTTTTTGAGGCAGGGTCTTGGTTCTGTCTCCCAAGCTAGGGTGCAGTGGCGTCATCACAGCTCACTGCAACCTCAAACTCCTGGGCTCCAGCGATCCTCCTGCCGCACCCTCCTGAGTAGCTGGGACTATAGGAATGTTCCACCACGCCTGGCTGGTTTTATTTTTCTGTAGAGACAGGGTCTCACTCTTCCTCAGGCTGGTCTCAGAAGCAATCCCCCTGCCTCAGCCTCCCAAAGTGTTAGGATTACAGGAGTGAGCCACTGCACCCAGCCTCAGAGACATTATACCTTTTATTATTTCTTCCTATTATATAAACATACTTTTATCTCATGCTTAACTTGCCATTTTTTATTGGTCCACAGAGATGGTAACTTAAGTAAAATGAGTAACTCAGAACCTAAGATAACAAGTAAACAGTAGCAGAACCAGGTTAAGGTAGTAACTAAAACTGCCCAAGCAGCCAATTTTATTGATATTGCATTACAAAGAGTCTAAATTTAACATAATAATGTTTTTACATAAAGCCAATATTTGGACAACCTTCCATCATTCAAATTATCTGTAAGATAAAAGGTTTTTATTTCTAAATTGGTGTTATTTACATCAAAAAGCTTTCAAAAAGTTACAGCATAATAGCTGTTAAGACGTAGGACTTTGTTCATTTTCTCAGTGGAGAGTATAGCTAACAATCTAGTGGTCTCTGGAAATACAATAATCCTGCAAACATTTAAACTCCAGTTCACAAACATGAGTTACCGAAAACCCTTTATTTATGACAGTCACACCCAATATAGGTAAATGAAAACCAATCTTTATCCTTTCATTAACACTGAGGGAGAAAGACCAAGCTACTTTTCAGCTACAATGTAATAAATCCAGAAACACAAGAAACCTGCTCTACACGTTTCAGTTCTTACAAGGTGAACCCAATAGGTATTTTTGCATTCCTTTTCTGCTCTCACTAAATGTCTGACAATTAACCAAAAAAAGCACCAAGAACTTCATGCTACAATGAACAGAATCACTTGAAAGGTTTACTTATACAGTCTTTCTACAAGCATTAAAATGCCCTATAAGGTAAAGCAATAAAACAGTGTTGTAATTTAGGCAAAAATTAAATGTTAAATCATTTCACATAAGACAAGAATGATTAAAATCCAGTTTTCTCATTGAACATCATATTTAGTGAAACATTTCATCACTTTTTGTCTACCACCTCTTGTAGGTTCCTAATAAAATAATTTGCTT